TAATCCTAGAATCGGAGAGGCAACGTGGTCTCCTGTTAAGTAGCGCACGTAGTCACGAAAATTCCGACATCCGAGTTAGACCTGATATATCTCTTGAAGATAAAATAAAAAGGAAGAAACCACTAGCTGAACTAGAAACCCGACGACAAAACAGTGAGGAAAATCTCCGATTAGTGGGTTTTCGGGTAGTCAGGTCTTGGAAGCGAATGCTAGGAGTTTTATATGCTAACGCTCGTAGTCTAAGAAATATATTCTATGAACTAGAAGAATTAGTGGACAAATTAAGGCCACTCATTGTGGCAATGACAGAAACTTGATTAGTCCGTGACTTAGACATTACTCCAGAATTATCCGGATACCTTTACCTAAGGAGGGATAGATATAGATGTAGAAAAGGAGGTGGCGTCTTTTTATACACAGCCAATAATACAAATATCCGCTCCTCTGCCAGCGAATCCCACGATGGCGGTAATTGTGAGGTCACTAGCTGTGAATTGGCTATCGTATGTAGTACATCTATGCTCGGTTTCATCTGTCACAGCCTAATCTGCTTAGCTGATGACTTTATTTTAGAGCCTATTCAACTATGGCGTGCAAATAGCAGATGTTTGATAGTAGGAGACTTTAATGCACCTGATATTAGTTGGACTAAGATGACCACGTAAGGATCCATAAACTCCTTTGGTAGTAGGTTCCTGGTAACAATAATGGAGCATACATTAGTGCAGCATGTGCCTAAACCCACATGTTTTGGTGCTAACCAAGGTTCTTCTCTGTTGGACTTGGTAATCACTCATGAGACTGAGGATATTGTCGACCTAAATATTCTTCCACAGTCAGTAAACAGCGATCACGCTGTTTTATCATTCACGTTTAGAACTAGGGACATGTTATACGATCAGGTTACACCCCATCCAAATGTATGGAAATCTAACATATCAGCCATTCAGGAATGCACTGCTAAGACAGATCGGCTTGTAGGTACTAGCTTATCAGTTGAAGGAGTATGGTCTGTATTTAAAGATAAGTTTAGTTAAATTACGTCCTCGTTCACACCATACCTGGTACGGCGTACACCGAATAACAGTTCACCATGAATAACTAAACCAGTCGTGAAACTTCTTAGAAGAAAGAAAGTCATTGGAATATGTACATCACTACTGGCTAGGAACAATACACATCCAGTTATTATAAGATTAGTAATGCCTGTAAAACGTTAATAAAACTAGACGATCATATGAAAAACAATTGGTTAGGGGCTCTAGATATAGTCCGAAACGGTTATTCTCGTATTTAAAAAGGCGAAGTCGGAGAAGCGATGAAATTCCATCACATTTGATACAAGAAAATCCGTTAGTCTGGGCAGAAAATGATACCGAAAAGGCTGAAGCTTTATCAGAATATTTTGGTAGTGTTTTTCATCGATAATGAGGAACGACCAATGATTCATTGTGATAGCTGCGGCTCGCTGATAGACCCTGTAGTCATAGAAAAAGGTACTGTTTTTCAGCATCTCAAACCTGATAAACCCAGTGGTCCTGATGATATTTATCCTAGGATTATGAAAACCATATCAGATGTAATTGCTGAACCATTGGCGATACTGTTTGACATGTCTCTAAGGCAGTCCAGACGGCCCAGAGACTGTAAAGACGCGTATTAAGGCCAGGCGTAGAGGTTTGGTTAGTAACTATAGGCCCGTTAGCTTAACTAGAGCGGTTATAAAACCAATGGAAAGAATCATTCAGATGTCTGTTATAAACTATGTTGAAGGGCATAATCTTTTCTCCAGGGAACAACATGGTTTTCGGAGGAGCCTATCATGCTTGACAAATCTTCTCATTGCAAGAGAAGATTAGGCTGCTGCAAAAGATCGAAATATTCCTGTAGATGTGATCTTCATGGATCTAAGTAAAGCCTTCGATAAGGTCTCCCCTTCTAGTCTTAAATTCACACTGAAACGATTTGGAATCCATTATGCAGTCGTAGATTGGATAAGTAGTTTTCTCCACGACAGGAGACAAAGTGTAAGAGTTAATGGAGCTCTCTCCTCGTAGGTACCCAAGGTTCCCCAAGGTACAATCCTCGGTTCTCTTCTCTTTTTACTTTATGTAAATGAATTACTAACTGTAGCAAAATCATCCGTTCTACTACTCGCTGATGACATGAAAATTTAGAGACTCATGCACAGTATTTCGGATAGAATGGTATTACAGGATGATCTTTGCTCATTGGTGGCACGGTTGTACAGGTGTTCACTAGAAGTAAATCCTAGTAAGAATGTGGTGATGCAATTAAATAACTATGATGAATCATGTCATTACATAATATGCGGATTCGTGATACCCAAAGTAAGAAACCATAACGATTTAGGAATCATATTAAGTAGTGATCTCAAAACCACCAGTGACTGTAAAGCTGCTGCAACGAAAGGCTCTAGGGTATTGTAGTCTGTTTTCGTAGGTCTTTAAATTATCATACCCGATTTACGTGCGACCACATTTAGAATATGGGATTCACGCAGTGAGTCCTTGTTTTAAGTATGAAGCAAACATGCTGGAAAGGTACTAAGATGGTAAAAAGTCTATCTGGCCTATCTTGTGAGGACAGATTGAGACACCTTAACTTATTTCCGTTATCTTACCGTAGAATACGGGGTGACTTAAGATTGGTTTATCGTGTACTGAACAATGACCTTGGTATTAACATGTCTAACCTTTTACTTCCGTCTAGGACTCAGCATTTGAGAGGACATTCGAAGAAAGTTCACCGAGATCAAATCGTTACGTCTAGAGTTTCGTTTCTCGCACCGAGTAGTGAATTACTGGAATTCTCTACCGGAACACGTAATATCAGCACCTTCTGTAGATATATTGAAAACGAGATTGGACTTCTACAGTATTACGAACTGCAAGTATTAATATAAGTCGACAGACCTCCTATGCTTACTACTAAAAACTGATAATAGGAAATATAATGCCCATACGAAGTAAGGAAGCAGATAAAAACTTGAGCTCTATTGTTTTGACATATACTTAGTTGTTTGAGGTCAACTCTCAACTAATCAACCTAAGCTGTTACAGATCTGTGAATCAATGTCCTGCTTTTGAAAATCTACTGAGTTCTTTGACTGTCTGATAAACGACAACGGTTCATCACTTTATGTCTTAAAATGGTCCATGGTTATGACGAGGGAGGACTGCTCTGACAACTAAAGGAGGAAGCATAGAGAATGCATTTCATTATCGAATGCCATGATATTGGATAATGTAACTGATGAAATAACGCTGCAGTTGAGCAAACCGCGACTCATGTTGACTGCGATGGATTTCTGAGTGTCGACGATTCTTAGCCTCACTCATGTCTATTTATACAGGTAACACGTTTTACTTTCACTCTACATTAAGTCTGAGACTCAGTGATATATAAGAAACATTTAAGTGAAATGCAAACGAGGAAGGACAAATCTAATGGAAGAAATACGAAATAAAAAGGCATAAACTCAAACCAAATAGAAATCAGTAACTTTATTTTATTGAAAGATTAAACTGCCAATGAGTATATCTGTAGGGGGATTATCTTGTTCAAAACAAGGACTCGCCATTCTTTAAACCTATGTTCACCTGTCGCCGTATAGAGTTAGAAAAAACTTCAGTGTGGGTGCGGTAGGTCTTCTTCACTGCCAGGTGAGGCCCTAATTAAAACGGACAAGTCTTTTGACATTCAAGGCAAGATAGTCGCAAATCTAAAGCCTACACATAGTAAGGAGGTAGATAAATGCTTAAGCCATATGGCTTTCATCTTGACAGGAGGTTTTAAGCAAATTCTAACTAACCTTCTAGAATCGACTCGCATGGGAATGTTGGTTTGATCAATTTATTATATAAAATGGTGTTAGTTCGGTGCCTGCAGCCATACGTGTTATTACAGAGGTTCGCTCAGTGTTTGATCTCAGTAAATTATGAATAACCTTAAGTTGATATCCAAGGATAATGCATAGATATCATGTACTTTTTTGGTGTGCTATCTCATCACGATAGCACTTATTTTCTCATCACAAATGATTACACATGACATGTAGCATATCTCTCCTATATGAAAATCAGATCTAGTAAGAAAACTATTACACTATGCTCTGTCTGGCTATCAGGTATTTACTTATTTGTCTCTTTAGCCACCCAAAAGTCGAAAATAAAGTCTATATTAAAAAGGAAACAAATGATATCAGTCAAGTATTACTCCAATGATCTGGTAAAAAAATCAGGTACTAAAGGGAAATGTACATTTACGATTAATAAATGTTCGGTTTCACATAAATACTTGGTCTCTCAGAATGTACTCGTAATCTGCAAGGAAATAGACTAGTTGTTAACATCAAGGAAATGGAAGTATTTTAAAACAGGACGCGTCTTGAAAGATAATGATCATATGAACCTGCTAGAATTTGGATCCCTCAGTTAACTCTGTTTCAAATTTATCATGTTTTTGGGTAACTCTAAGCCACCCAACTTAAGTAGTTACAGATGCACAATACACCGTACTGAATGTAAAGTGATCCGGTTGCTCTACCGAGCAGTATAGCGACAAAATAATATGTTGAAAACGGATTGTATTCGGAGTTCATGCACACAGATAACACATATTTGGTACGAATATGACTGTTCATACAACAACACGAAAATAAGGGAGATATTTTATTTTATTCAGATGAAAATATTAACTTTCCTATGTCGCTTAATAAAGGGATTGATTGTCTTTCGCAACTAGTAGCAAACGGCTGTCTATAGCAATGTATCAATGTTTCTTACACAAAGATTTGAAGCTTTTTGGTCATTTCAAAGTGAAAACTGTTTTATTCTTTCAAACGGTCAATATATGGTTGCGCGCGCTTAGGTCGGTTGGACTGACTTATGATTTCACAGTGCTAGCTATGTTATGGTCAGTTTGTATGCTCGTAGCTAGTTAAGTTACCTGAAAATCGTTATTTTGTTGTGAAAAGTATGACTGAAGTCGAGAATGATTTTGATGAAGTGAGTTTTGTAAAGGTTTGGTTATGCAGTAGAAATCTGTGGATGACTTAGATAAGGATGATTTAATCCGACTGTTTGCTTACCTTCAAGGGGAGCTGGAAGCAAGAGACATAGCACTTGCTACTCTAAGGGTGGGTTGTTTTCTAATGATTTATTTTCAGTCCGAGCACATAAATACAGCCAATCTAAGGGCAAAATATGGTATTGTAGTAAACGACCGACATAGTGTCAGAGACTTGAGGGATCCTTTTCAGGCATTACGAAGAGATTCAGTAAGTTTGATTTATACCGCTTTAGTTCTTAGCTGTGCTCACCTCTGTGCGATAATGAATCTGCTTTAAAGCCACTGTACGACAGCCAGTTATTACAGCTAGAGAATCTCATATCATCTCAAAGGTATGCTCAAAACAAAATGCGAGATCAACTAGTCCTGATGGAAAAAAGATATGTCAAGGCAAGTCATATATATACATCCGTGATTATTTTACAGGTATGTGAAGAGTTAGAGGAAGAACGTCGAAAACACGAAAGAGATGCTGCTCAAGGCGATGACGTCTTAGTTATGCTTGAAAAGGAACGTGAAAGGCTCAAGTCTGAGGTACTTTGTATTTGTTTTGCTAAATTTTCAGGTTGACTATGAAAAACTACAAAACAAAAAACTCACCCGTGACTTGAGGCGTGTAATTCTCAGTTGGAGGGAACAAAATCTTTTGTGTAATAAGCAAAAATTTGCTGCTGTTACTCTCATAAAAGAGCGCAAACGTCTTTCTAATGAACTGGCTAGCAAGCAGAAACGTGTGGCTGAGCTGGAGCGATCATTGCAACAGAATAGCCTTAATACTAAAGCACTCAGTCCAGATTGTACCAACTCTGATAGCAAGATAACTGGAACAGTTGGTTCAGATAATAACGTGTGCTGTAGTCATCAGTGTGAGTTGTTACGGCAAAAGCTGGCCGAGGAAATGGAAACTCGTAAAGCAATTGAGTGCAGTTTTGAAAGGTAATTCAGTATTTTAGTTCTGACCAACTATATGTTATTTTATACTTTTGTGATACGTTTTATACAGTAGTCATGCTTGTTTTCTAAATTGTATTCTTTGAATTTCTAAAATGATGTATCTAGCGTCATTTTCAGTCAGTCAGTCAGTAACAACGTAGAACTTCGTACGTACGTACATCAGTTCGAGTTGCCACACCACATTAGCACAGAGATGCAGTTGTCGATTCAAATCCCGTAGTGGTAGAGGTAATATTTGTTGCTTGTCTTACATCTCATTAATATGCCATTCATGTTTTTAGAGAAAAGACTGCGGGAACTCGGTTTGTGGGAAATATTTTTATCGCCTTACGTGTTTCTTCATAACCTGTGGAAACCTGTCATATTATTCCATTGCAAGTAGAAAAACTAGGAAGCTAGTGTAAAAACCATCACTATTACAGCAACAATTGCACTCTAACTCTTGGGGATTTAATCATCTTTGACTATTCAGGAAGTTGTTTTGTACTTAGGAATAATGTCAGTTGCACAGGCGTTCATCAGTTTTGGTTGCCCCACCTTAATATAATAAGGTAAAGTTTATAAAGTGAATGACTCAGGAGTCTAAATAATAGCAGTATCCATGATAGAAAATAAACGTACAGAAAATCAGTTCGTAGAATAAAATGTTATGACCTATAATGAAATTCCGTTTCTGCATGGAAGTAGGGGATGAATACTTTTTTACCACTGCAATTGATTTCGAACCTTATCACTTAAACTTTCCAACCGCTGATCGCGATTGCCGCATTAACCATGACTGTATGTAGTTTACATCTTCCTAACTACTTCGAACCAAAAAAATATTAAGTTTTTTATCTGATGACACTATTCGACTTAGCTGCTTGCGGGTTTCTTCCAGCCTACTCCGATCATCGTTACGCATCGCGATGGGCTTTGAGCGTATGTAACACATGTCTTAGCCATCTCAGTAAATGGGTGGGTATTCACTCTAATTGATTTTTCATGCTTAACCACTGCCCTTCGTCTCTACTCACTTGACTGTTCCATCAAACTCCATGTCAATATTTCATCAACTATCAACCCCCCGACGTTAACAATACTGTCAAGGTAGTTGGTGGTCACCACTTTATAGTGTTGGAAAGCACTCAACCGACCAACTTCACAATAAAGTATGTTAATGGTGAATAAGGCGTTTCAATACCGCTTATTCACAAGCTTAATAAACAAACGATTTAAGCACGACAAGGCATCTTGTCTCGTTTAAAATGATCGAAGCTACTCGTCTTCAATAAAATTTGATAACGAATATTTCTAATCTGCTATTGAACGATTATTTATTGTCTTTTCTCCTGCATTAGTTTACTTTCAGAACAACATCAGTAAAATACTCTTTTGCTTAAGTGACCTTTGTTTATCTGCTCGCTGGTGATACTAAAAGTACGAAAAATAAATCTTCAATAAAACTCATCCTACATAGTTTGTGGCAAATGAATGTGATCAGTGTTTAAGAATTAGGGCTTAACAGATTCCTATGAGAGTGTAATTGACTTAACATCATATAGAAGATCATTTATTCAGGTTTCAGTGAATACAAACTCAGCTCACAAACATCTGGATACTGCCCACCCTTGAATACCCTTATAAATTACGGAGTAGAAGTAAACGCTTCCTTTTAGAGTAATTTTATTCTCACTTATTTTGGTTAGGCATTGCGAATAATTAAGTATTCAGACATCGAAACGGTTGTATACTTGCTCTCAGGGAGTTGACTAATTCAACATTTATATGGCGACGGCGGTATATGCCACCCTAATTCACCTTTGGTATCGCCTGACTAAAATGTCAAATATACAACGCTTTATCGCTAGCAGTTGTTTACCGCTTTAATCTAACCGCATTATAACGAAATCATACGATATTCCTGTTTCTAATCTCCGCTACGTAAATAGTATTTTCTCTATTTCGAGGCAACATTTTAAATAATGCTTAAGCCATTCAGTGTATTTGGATATTGTTATCAGTGTTATTTATTGGATAAAATTATCTAACATTATCGATTTAAGTTATTTGAACATATTTTACGTGATTCATTTGAGCTGCATTTACATCGTAAGTATTGGAGCTTTATATAAGAACTATATATAGTCACTTTGTGAATGTCAGTACTATTTTACTTTAGAAACAGTGAGATGAATTAATGAGAAATAAAATTTCATGAATATACTGTTATTTCGATTAATACCTCTAATATGTGTAATTATTTTACAAAACTATCGAATTTCTCTTAGTACTTCACCACGTCGGGTTTTTATAAATTCAGTAACATAACATGAATCGTAGTAGGGTGGTCATCAGTTTTGTTTTGGTTACTTCTGGGATTCACATAGATGTCTTGTAATACGAACCTTTATAGCGTTTCATGTTTTACACGGATGATATCAGTTAATTGAATTTTTAAAATAACTCTTACAGGTCTTAGATGCTTCATTTGCTAATATATGGTTATTATTTCCGCATTACTACTGATTATTTAATGAAAATGTCATGTCTTTTTATGAATGTGACTAAGTTTTTTCTGTGTCTGAATTATTTTGACAGAAAAGGGAGTGTCACGTTATATTTAAAACTTTATTCCCAAATATTCGTACATATTTCCTAATATATTACTGTTTTTTATATTTTCTTTGCTGTATCTTTGTATTTCAGACTTAAAGCAGATTATCAAAGACTGGTATCCGAATCTTACCCCAAGGATCATACAGCCAATCGTCCTCCAGAAGATTCAGTTGGTGTCAGTGTCTCATTGATTAACGGTCCATGGGTTTCTACTGAAAATTATAGTAGTCCTGAGTCCGTCACTACGAATTCTTCGATCAGATTCAAACCAAATCCTCCTCAAAGGCGATCATCTGATATGCCGACTTCCGTGTCACCCACCTCTAATATAATCTCATCTGGATCTATTCTGATTTCTAACAGTTCAAACCACACCGGAGCCACTACTTCTGGCTCTTCTCAAACAGTTGTTGAACAGTGTTCATCTAGATCTCCCTCTGGCAATGTTGGTGAAAAATCAACCACTCAGTTGTCTATTGTCCCTCCATCAACCACATCACCACCTTCTAGATCATCCACACCATCACCTCCCCCACCGCCACCCCCTATGCAGTTACACTACCCTTATCCTGGGATGCAGGGACACTTAAACCATACTTCACGAAGTCAAAGCGGCCCTCCACCTTTTCTTCCAAGTACAAATACTAATCGCCCTATACCGAACTCAATGTCTCATACAGCTGTTGTACAGACCTCTAAATCTAGAAACCTAGCTTCTCATCAATCAAGTCCTCCTTACCAACCGTCATATTCTTCTCCGAATCACACTGTGGTCATCCCTGGTAGAGCTGTTAATAATTCCATTTATTCAACACGTGGAGGGTCACGTAAACCTATGTCTGTAAATGTTCAGCATACCAATTTCCATCACAATCCTCATTCAACTCCTCGCCCTGTTTCCCCTTTTATACAGTCTCAGTCTAAACCTGCATCGGTTGCTCTTCAATTCTCTCAACATAGTAGCTTAGCACCAAACAGCACTTCACATCCTTCGATTGGTGGGCATCATGTTCCCACTCATTCGTTGCATCGTTCCCATCCTTCTATTGTTAATCCTATACCATCAAATGTTAGACCACGAAATCCAATCCAGAATAGTCAATCGGGACTTACTGTAGCGGTATCAGTCATGGGAGGTGGACATGTATGTGTAAATGGAAAATAATTTAGAACTTTCTGTCTATATTTAGATATATTTTTAGTGTTTTTTTAAAGAGGAATTCATTTCTAGTTCTATGTTTTTCAGTATCAATGACAAGAATGACAACTACAGCATATATATTTTTTTATAAAACTAGTCAATACGTGTACAGCTGGATACATACTACTTATTATATAATCTAATTGTTATTGTAAGCAAAGTAATGTGGTTTTCAAAAATTCTAGTCAGATATCTTAAAGTTTTACATCTAACCATCATTTTCGGACAGAAAATATGTATACATTTTTTAAATATTTTTATGACTCAGTTAACCCAATAAATATTCTGAAGTAATGTGCAATTTTCCATTTTTAGTTTTTCATTAATTATTACAGTGTGCAGGTACTGCTGATATAAGTATTATTATTATTATTACTACTGATCCGTCTAACTTCATTTCCAGTTTATCCATCTTCTTTTGTTTATTGAATGAATGGTTCACATAATGGTTGTATTTATTTAGCAAAACTTTGTGATTCCTTATTATGCTTTTATATTTTTAGTTCAGTTTTTAGATAATTTAATTCCTCCTGGGAAAATTCTTACCAATGAATTTATTTAATTGTGAAATAATATGCATTTTACTATTATAGTGAAACCGAAATAATCATTGATATCTGTTGGATATTTTATGTTTATCGTAATTTACTATCTTTGTATCCCTGTGTTTTGTTCAATAGCTTGTTTTTTTTTCGATAAAACAACGCAGTGCGTTGTTTACTGATAATATCAGAATTCATTGCATAGTGTATAAATTAATTAACTTTGAACAATTTTTTTTTATTGACAGACAAATATTAATGGACAGTTGTGTATAAAATCAAATTTATGATCATCATTAGGGTTCAAGAAGTTTCATATTTATTTCAGCTGTTAATATAACAAATATAAATTTCTTTCTGTGATATTGTTCTGGTATGTTTCATTGACTGAATGAATATTCAGTTAATAGGTTTAACAATTCTCGGCAGGAACTTTAATATGTTGTTCAGGTAAACATGCACAGTTTTTTACATCAATAGTTTCATGTGATTTTTAAGAGTTGATCAAGAAACTTTCAACGGTGTTCTATAAAGATTTTCCAATGAGTTGTCTAGGATTGTTAGACTTGTATGCATATCTGAAAGATTATCCATTAGCACGTATAACTGCATCATCTATAAAAAATATGAACGTTCACTAGTTTTAGAAGTTATTTGTTCAAGAACTGTATGGATCGGGATGTAAGTTATTATCATCAATCACACTTTACGTCTTTACGTTTATTTATGCGAATGCTAGATGTTGCTTTGTGATTGCAGCATGTAGCTGGATGAGTTATGTTATTGTTATAGATCTAATTCGAACCATATGAGCTATATTTCATTTCTATGGAGAAGTGTTATAAGCGAATAGAAGAGTGATAAAATCTTTATTAGCACGATGCAATACAAATATAGTCTGGTTGACATGCTGTTTAAATAATGATTTAGAACAACGGAGCAATGAGTGGTAAAGTTCAAATCTTAAGATTTCTACGTAGAAATAGAATATCTTCAGCTTTCACGTATTTGTCTTGTCATACTAAGACTTCTGATATCTTAAGGATCCCCTAGGCATGTAGGTTGATCCGAGCATGAAATATCAACTACATTTCGTTACATGAATGCATTCATAATTTAACACTCACCAACTGAGTACAGATGTAGAAAATTATCATTCAAAACTAGGCTTCCTACAAAGTTCATGGGCACCTCGTTTGTGGAACTAGCTGGTACTTTTTTTTTTTTAGCTCGGCAGTGTCTGTAACGTTGGAAGCTAGTTTTAATAAATTGGTGGGTTCGTATGAATGTATTCGGACTAGATGCCATCTTTCTAGTACTTAGTGTGTCATTACTAATATCGTGTTGATACCCTCTATTATTTTGGATTTTTAGTCTTGAGGATTCAGTAATCGAGTTCTGATAGCAGAGAACCTGGAGGGTTGAAATTTATTTACGAGAATTAACTACTTGAATGTAATTGCATACAACTATTTTTTTAACGAGTATCCAAACACTTGAATTCTAGTCGTAAGAAGATTTTTTTGACTTTTTCGGGCAATATTGTTACAAGAATAGTAGTATACTCACTCAGCTGTATATTCCCTTAGTCGTATTAATCAGCTAATAGAATGCTTTACTCAAATGGCCACTTTTGCATAATCATTCAAAACAATAATTATGAAGTGCCAATTATTTCTTGTCACTCACTCTAATCGATAAATATTTCAAGGTAAATTATATAACTTACTAAACTAATGACTATAAATGTCTTCTCATCCCATTTTTTTTGTTCATCCTCGAGAATACATCATTAAATAACCAAGTTTATGAATTAATTCTTTTAATGAATGTTGTTTTTTATCTTGAGCAAAGTATATGTTCACAATAAATGATTTTCCGTCAAGTTTAATAGTGACATTAAGAAACGTACTCTATATCAAATCAACTGGTAACCTTTAAAATATTACTAATTATCAGTTATATTGATTGTTTTCTAAAAAAATTGTTTTACTTTTGTGTGAATTAATTGAATAATAAATGAATGATTAATTTATGATCAGGAAAAAGGAATCAATAATATCGTTGTTTACGGGAAATAGTTGTTACTTAAGGTTTATTCCAGACTTATAATAAATGAATTTAATTATCACTTACAACCTATATGTATTACATTTCTTGCAGAATTTGATTCACACATGGTATTTAAAAAATATCTACTCTTTCATGTTTTTTCTTATTTGATGATATTGAACTTTCATTGTAACCATGTTTATTTTATACATATTAGAATCATAATGTTTATTATTGTAAAGCTTGAATAGAATACAGAAAGATTTATCTACAATGTTGTATAAAATCACTTTTTAACATTTATACTGGTTTATCGTGGCAATTTGATGGTGACCTTGTTTATATGTCTGATTTACTTATGTATCGATCGGTTTTTGGCTAATGAATATTAACTTCTGATTGGTTATTTAAAATGAATGACTTATATTCATATGGGTCACATAGTCATTGAATTCTTAAAAAATATGATGGTGTAACTGGTATACATTTACTGTCATATGTCAAAAAAAGTTTTATTTGCCATATCGTAGAAATAGGTTATCATTATGCTCTGTAGCTATAGTTTCTCACGAAAGTATATTGACTATGGAATAAAAACGACATCAATCAAAACACTATAAAGTACTAGGTAGTTGTAAAGTTCTAGTTCGGATATTTATTAGTGATTCGTTTATTCTGTTATTTTTGTGTTCAAAGTCAGCATCATAGACCTGTTAGAAGTGATGTAATATTCATTATTTAAGATTTCAAGGAACACAATTATAAATGATAAATTCACTTCATTGAGATAAACCGACAACCGTTTCAATTAAAGCTCATAAAAGATAATTAGTCAAGGATTTTATAAACTAATAACACGCTTTGGTTTGATCAGCTTTCCTTTTATTTTAACTCGTTATTGGATAAACAAAGTACAACAATGTACAAGGTGATTACACTTACGTAACCAAGTCAATCGAAAAGGCTTCAAAATCTCATTGATCTACGTATCGACTTAAAGTATTTGTTCGTTTACAGTTTATAAAAGGTAAGTACAATTAATGTAGGTAATTCTTTGAAGGCTCTTAATGATTGATTGGCTTTAGCCCATACATTTCAAATAATTCCACCATCCGATGTCATGTCCTGCTTAAAATGTCGGTATATAATAGACAACAGGAATGAATTTGTTTATTATCGTCTAATCTGAAATCAAATAGGTGATCCTGATAAACACAGATAGATGTATATGCCTGGTTAAAAACGTTTCCACCTGTCTATTTTTTATCTATCCCAGCTTTTCATCATTGCATATATCTGTATGTCTGTGTTAAGACGAAAAATGTTTTGTACTGAGAACCCCATATTGTACTAAACATAATAATGAATGAAGCCTGTATTATTACTCCATTACATTTAAGATTTGACAGTTTTTGTTTTGCCATTCACAAGTAAGCATTGTATTTGGTAGTTTTTTGAATGACAAGTAGTCCAGTTATTATTTTAAGATAAAAAAATGCTATGGCTAATTGTTAGAAACTGGAGTTACAACTGGCTTCTTGCTGCTGTATAATTGAACAAATACTGATATGGCTTAGTGCAAGGAGAAAAACAATACTGGAGATAAACATTTTATGATAAACTTATAATAAATCTACAACTGATCAATCATTTGATCAAAAATATACTGAGTTATGTCACAGCTACTTATCTAGCAAATAGTCATTTTTGAATATATCGAAATATCGATTAATCAATAATTCAATATATGTATACAATTTACAATATCAATAATTTAACTGATTTAACTAACGGATCGAATTAAATTATTGAGTTACATATTTACTCCTTCTTAAAAGTCACTAGCTTGATTTGCTTTTTAATGATAGTGACAACCTCGCAAAGGTAATAGTCACGGTAGGGACTGTAAGTTAATTTAGTTAATGTCCCTATTCGTCATTTACTAGTTATTTCATAGAGTCAATGATGTAATACGATGTATTTTATGAATGCCATCAATATGTTTATTGAAAACTTTATACTGTAGGGGGACACTGAATTCAGAAAAGTTATAGTTAATTCAATATGATTTATCAGTTAATTATGTATCTGATGACCGCTTTGTGAGGAGCACTTTGTTCATTTAGTTTGGACAAAACTTTCAGATTTGAAATATTTTTATTGATATATTTCTAAAAGAACTGTAATATCTTCTATGTTGTCATATTTTTTATAACAAATATAAATGTTGAAGATGAATGCAATTCAAATGAGAACCACCTTGAATACTTGAAAAAGAAATATAAACCATTTACTGAAAGAATATACTCAATATTCTTGTGTTGTGATAATTGTTGAAAACGATCGGATTAACGATGTTATTTTATCAGGTGTCTATTGTCCTAATGCTTTACTTCTATTTAATAAAATCCTTAATACATTTTAGAAAAAAATATTTCAAATGAAACAATTTCTGATGATGTTATATCAGATGTCGTTTGTCTTCACAATGTACTTGTTCCTAGTGAAAACTTTGATCAGTGTAAGGCACACATTCGAAATGAATTCAAATCTAATTGCAGTTCTGATGGTTCCATATGACATGTTATTGATTTTCACAATGCAATCACTTCTAATGAATTTTCTGGTCAACGATAACAAGATGCTTTAAATTAGTCACATCATAATTATATCGTCTGA